AAAGGAAAAGGAAAAGGAAAAGGAAAAGGAAAAGGAAAAGGAAAAGGGAAAGGAAAAGGGAAACTGGAGCGGAATGGAATAGAAAAATAAAATAAATTAAAATAAAATAAATTAAAAATAAATTAAAATAAAACACAATGAAATTAAGGCCCAGAGGCCCTCCCAGAGTTCCCCAGCCTCCCAAGGCCCCTCCTGCCCACGCAGTCCCCCTGACCTGGCGGATGCCCAGGCGGTAGGCGAGGATCCGATCCACGGCGTTGGGGTTCATCTGTGTCCACTGCAGGCTGTAGGAATACACCCGGGGCCTGTTCTGCCACAGGGGGTTGTAGGTGTCGTAGTAGAACTCGGGGGCGTAGGCTTTGCCTGGGGGAGGCAAGGACACAGGTCAGGGACACAGGTCAGGGACACAAACAAAATTATGGAAACCTCACTTTGGGAGCCAAAGGTTGAGACCCAACCCCTGGTGGGCTGAGCCTTCATTAAATCAACTCCCAGTGGTTTGAGTCTTTGTTAAATACGTTCTGTCAGAAATACATCTGGGAATCCTTTGCCCCCCAAAAATCATCAGGAGGAAATGAAACCCTCCAAGCTCAGCTTTGATGTGTTTGTGAGCCCCTGGTGTTTTGAGTCTTTGTTAAATATGTTCTGTCAGAAACACCTTTGGGAATCCTTTGCCCCCCAAAATCGTCAGGAAGAAATGAAACCCTCCAAGCCCACTTTTGAAGCATTTGTGAGCCAGGTACTGCTTTGTTTTGAACAGAGATTTTTTCCAGCTACACAACTGTCCTTTCAAGATATTTTTATTCACTTTAACAAACACAGAAATTAATGTTTATTGGTTCTGAGTCCCACAATTCTGCTCATTAATCAGTGTTCTATCCTTCACTGGCTAATTTGGTCCCCATTCTTTGGTCCTCCTATCACTCTTCCTCAGAGAGAGAATCTCCAGCACTCAGGCTGAGATGTCTTTGTTAATCCCCTCTGTATCTTCTGGTTACTCCAAGAAGAGAACAGAAAAAAGGGAAGGGAGAAGGAGAGGGAGAGGAAGAAGGAGAAGAAGGAGAAGGAGAAGGAGAAGGAGAAGGAGAAGGAGAAGGAGAAGAAGGAAGAGGAGAAAGAGAAGGAGTGCCATACATTTAAGATCCCAGATATCCAACCTTCAGCTTCTTCAAGCTTTGTCTACTAAAACCCATCAAAGCCAGTCCAGGGAAACTCAAAGTTTGAATGGTTTAAAGATCAAACCAATGAGTCTAGTAAAAGAAACCCACCAACTGCTACCATTAATTACAAATTTAGGAAAGTTATATCGTTTCCAACACCTCCATCCGTGTTTTTAAAGGATTTGTGGCGATGCTTTGCCTTTGTCATTCAGTCCCTCGGTGGAATTCGCAGCCCAGGTGTGGGCAGGGAAGAGGAAAAATGAAGGGAGCCTCTGGGAAAGGCTGAAGCGACACAAGGTGCCTCTGCTCTGATTTTTTCATGCCCAGTTGACTCGAATGGAGACATCAAAGCGACCTGCACGACTCTGGGAGACTCTGTGACAGCTGCTGGAGCTGGCACAGATAATATGGAATGACACCCGGGAGCCGGGAGTAGGAGATGGATATTTCCAGTGACTGCTGCTGCCTTCATCACCTTCATCTTCTCCTCTGCACCTTCCCACCTGGAATGCACCCAGGCTGTCCTGGATAACCCCCCCAGAGGTGCCCTCTGTTCTCCTGCATTATTCAGCTGGACAGACTGGTTTGTACAAGGCAGGCACAGGACGTCTCACAGGGCACGGTGGGGACACGAGTGGCTCACCAGCATTTCCAGCCTTTGGAAACAGGAAAACCCCAAGGATGGTGCCCCCAAACATGGCCTGAATTAATTTGGACTTCAACCCACAAAGAGGTTTTGCCCAGAGGTGTCCCATCCCTGGGAACATTCAAGGTCAGGATGGACAGAACTTGGAGCAACTTGGTCTAATTAAAGATGTCCCTGCCTATGTCAGAGGGACTAGATGGCCTTTAAAGATCTTTTCACACCCATGATCTTTCATGGAAAAAGCTCATCCTGCCCTGTCCCTGCTTGGGAGCAAACCCAAACCAGGCTTTGACTCATTTTGTCGCTCCAAGTACGTAAAAATGAGACAAAACACGAGAAACCAGAATATTTGCATGTTACCCTCCTGCAAAGGTCTGAAAGGGGCTTGCAATTAGAGAAAAATCCAAGCAGAGTAAGATCTTTTCACCTCCCAAAGCTTATATTTCCATCCTTCCATTTCTCCAGGGGTTTTGTCAGTGGGGATGATTAGGAAAGGGACTGAATAACACGGGACACGTGGGAAAACATGGTTTGCCTGCTCACATGGAGCTGTGAGACGTGGATCCATTAATCACCTCCTTTAATTGAGGTTTGAGGTGCCAAAATTAACACTGTATTTAGGCCTTTTCTCCTCCAAACTATCCCTTATCCAAAGGTGTAAACAGAGATGGATGGAGAGGCCTCAAAGTGGGATAATTTTCACCCTCAGAAAGACAGTGAGAAGAGGGGGGGGAAAGTGCATTAAAACAATAAAAAATGCAGAGGGACAAAGGGAAAAATCACACAAATAGACACCAACATGGTGGGTGTTGACCAAGCCTTTCTCTCTCCAGCCACGCTTCACTTTCCAAAGCATGAAAAGCCCCTTTTAGCCAAGAGGGTTTTTTTGCCAATTGGTGAAAGAGGAGGTTCAATCAGCCAGGACTGGGGCAGAGGTGGTGTTGTTGAGGCAGCAAACAACAACACCCTGAGGGGAAGGAGCAAAGCAGAAGCTCAGCTGTAAAACCTGAGCCGGGAGATAAACGAAAGGAGGCCCAGCGGCGGCCCGGATTTGTTTTCCTTATTTATGCACAGTGGAAATAATGGAGGAAAAGCTCATGCTGGATGCAAATTATCATCTCTCCCCTTTTCTCCATAATGGCATCTCTGGGGGAGGTCCTGAAAGGATCCATAATTAGACACTTGTCACAACGTGGGCCCTCGAACAACACGGTCACCTCCGGAGCAGCGAGGAGGGCCCGTGAGGAGTGGCATTATCCCAAATCCCTCGGAACACAGGAGGGCTCTGGTGTGAATGGAGATGCTGAAAAATCAACAACACAGAGCTAAGACCTTTCCTTGCAAACCTGAGAAAGCTGGGAAGCGGTTTGGAGCACAGGGAAAGCGGGTGTGGCCATGGGAGGGGTGGGAGCCATGAGGGACATGGGGCGATGCCTGAGCAGGGTGATGTCCCCTGTCCCCACGGCCCCTGGCTCTGACAGCTGTGTCCACCTCTGGGTCCCGAGGAAGTGGGAAGTTGGTGGAAGTCCTAATCCACATCCTGGGAAAAAAATTTCCTCAGCAAGAGTCATCCCACTGGGTGGGTCCACCAGGGTCCTGAGGAAGTGGGAAGCTGGTGAAGTCCTAATCCACACCCTGGGAAACATTCCCCCAAAACCCAGACTCGACCCCCCTTCCTCTGACAGCAGGTGACACCAAACTGCCCCTGAGCCAGAGGTGGGTCCTGGGGACATGAGGAGGAACATTCCCAGCAGGTCAGGGAGGGGATCCTGCCCCTCTGCTCAGCCCTGGGAGGCACATCTGGGGTGCTTTGTCCAGCTCGGGGCTCCTCAGGACAGGAAGGAGCTCCTGGAGCAGGTCCAGGGCAGGGTGACAAAGCTGATGAAGGGATGGAGCATCTCTGAGGGAGCTGGGGTTGTTCAGCCTCCAGAGGGGACACCCAGAGGGGACCTCCCCAAGGGCTGGCAGGGCCTGCAGGGAGGGGGCAGAGGATGGCCCAGGCTCTGCTCGGGGGGGCCCAGCAATGGCACAGCAGGAACGGGCAGGAACTGATGCCCAGCAAGTGCCACCTGCACAGGAGGAAGAACTTCTTGGCTGGGCAGTGACCCAGCCCTGAGCAGATTGGCCAGAGAGGGGGGGAGTCTCCTCCCTGGGGATATTCCAGAGCCCTCTGGACACAATCCCTGTGCTCTGGGATGGCCCTGCTGGAGCAGGGAGGTGGCACCAGATGGGACACTGTGGATCCTTCCAGCCTGACCCATCCTGGGATTTTGTGACTCCAGACAAACAACCCAACCCTGTCACAGCCAAACCAAAGGCAGCACTGGCCAGCAAATCATCCTCCTCTAGAGAAACAAAGAGATCACAAATCATGGAATCACAGTATGGTTTGGGCTGGAAGGTACTTTAAAGCCCATCCAGTGCCACCCCCTGCCATGGGCACTGTCCCAGGGTGCTCAGGGCCCTTGTCTTTGCTCCCCTTGCTTTGGGGAGGCAGCAGCTGATGTGGAGGAACCACTTGCAGCCCAGAACCAAGCCCTTCCCTCAGGAAAGGTTATCCCACATTTTCCCCTGCAGAGATGCCTCAGACACATGGGGCTGCCATCCCTTGTGCCCCAGCTGGGCACCCTTGGGGTCACCAGCTCTGCCTTCACCTGCCCTTCTTCCCACAGCCATGGCAGCCTCTCCTTTCCAAAGCAAAGCCTTTCTTTTGTTCCCACAGGAGACATTTCCCTTTCTCGTTGTGTTTGCCCTTTTTAAGCACAGGCAGCAAAAACAGCCTTCGAGGCACTTCAGGATTTATTAAGACTTGTCCAAGGCCAGGTTGGACGGGGCTTGGAGCAACCTGGGCTAGTGTGAGGTGTCCCTGCCCATGGCAGGGGGTGGCACTGGATGGGCTTTGAGGTCCCTTCCCACCCAAACCATTCCACGATTTCAGTTTAACTTAATTAATCCCTCCCGAGGAACTGTGGTGTTTGGGGCTCTACCAGGGAGAGGATACAGGACACAGCTGGATGTGGAGAGAATTGTTTGTTTTTCCTTTCTAGCACTGACAAAACACCCATTTCTTGCACCTTCTGAACACGCAGCGTGTGGGAAATAAAGAACGGGGGGGAGAGTGGGAACAGCACAGGGACAGGCGACACCAAACACGGTTTTACTCCTGTGGGCTGCTCAAAAAACGCACAAACACAGCAAATGTTTGCGTTTGAAGACGACGCTGCTAAAATAAAGCAGGAATTCCTGCCGGGAATGCTCCCGGAGACCGCCCAGCCCAGCTCAATTACACGTCGGCGCTGTTGTTCCATCAACCTCGATGGATTTGCGTATGAAACCCGTAATTATCAGTCGTGCTAATGGCCCTCCCGGGCACACCGGGATGGGTTGGGATTGTGCTTATCTCCCTCCTCAGGTCGGCACGGGGGGAAGGAAAACCCCAGCACCCCTTTCTCCAAAAATACCCACGAAAATAACCCCAAATACCCCCAAACCACATCTCATAATATCCCAAAACACCCCCCAAAACACTCTGAAATCACCCCAAAAATACCAACCAA